CATTTCTTTCCTTCTCAGGGCTGAATAATATTCCATTGTATATACACACCACACCTTCTTTATCTATTCCTCAGGGGAAAGATTCTCCTGGCCTGTGAGGGAAAAATGCAGACTCTCTGGATAGTCTAATGGGATTCCTTTGAAATTTACAATGTTCCCTCCCTCCCCCACACACCCCATCTGCTTTTAGAATTCATTCTTTATCCTTGATTTCTAACAGGTTTTTTTTGCATTGAGATAATAGGGTGATCTGTTAGCTTTGTGAACTTGGATGTTCAATTTTCTCCCCAGTTTTGGGAAACTCTCAGCTATTATTTCTTTAAATAATTTTCTGCTCCCTTCTCTTTCTCCTTCAGAAACTCCAGGCACTCCAGCATTTGTTCTTTTGATGGAATCCTGTTGCTCGCTTTGGCTTCCTTCACTCTTCATTCTCTTCTCTTTGTCCTCCCCAAACTGGGTTGTTTCAGAATGCCCATCCTCTCACCACTTATTCTGTCCTCCAGACACTTTACTCTCCCGCAGATGCTCTATTGCCTTTTTCATTTTACTCATTGAGTTCTTCAGCCTCAGAATTTCAGCTGCGTTCTTTTTTTATGATTTATCTTTGTTAAAAATCTCGTTTTGCTCATGTATTATTTTTTTCAAGGTTTCATTGAATTGGCCGAGTTTTCTCGTGGCTCACTGAATTTCTTCAGAGCAGCTACTCTGAAATTTTTATCAGCTAGATCACACATTTCATGCCTTTGAACTCAGTTTTGGGGGAGTTCTTACTGTCCTTGCGATGGCACGTTTCCTTAGTTTGTCACGTTCCTTGTAGCTTTGAGTTGCCACGTTCACATCTGTGATAGTGGCCGCTCCTTAAAACTGTACGAATTGCCTGGAGATGGGTGTTCTGGGCCACCGCGGTAGTAGGCGGGTTCTTGGTCTCTTGGCATGCAAGCGTCCACTCTGCTCCCTTGCTCCCTCTTGTGGTAGGATTCTGAAGCTTTTGTGTCTTCTCCGGTTCTTATCTTTAGTAAGATAACTTACCAACGGGGTGGGGGGGGGGGGGGGGGGGGGGGGGGTGGCTCCTGGGTGTCTCAGTTGGTTAAGCAACTGCCTTCTGCTCAGGTCATGATCCTGGAGTCTGGGATCGAGTCCCACATGAGGCTCTCTGATCGCCAGAGAGTCTGTTTCTCCCACTGTCCTCTCTCCTCTCATGCGCTCTCTCTCTCTCTCACTCAAATAAATAAATAAACTCTTAAAAAAAAAAAAAAAAAAGATAACTTACCAACCGACTCCTGGAAACCTCTCCTTTGTTTTCCTGAAGGTGGCGCTGTGGCTCGTTTGTGGTTTCTCCCTGGCCCTCTATCTAGGCCTGCTGTTTGAGGGGCTCTGGGTCTACTGGGCTCTCTCCCATCTTGCACATGCGCAGGAGCTGCTGCACGGTGGGTGGAGGTGTGGGTCTAGTGCTCAGTGATTGGGGGTGCCTGGAGACGCACTGGTGAACTCCCTGGGTGTGGTGCTCCCACCGGCTCGTGGTGGACATTCTGCTGCACACCGTCTCCTTACTGCCCTTGGAAATTCCCATTGGCCTCTCTCCCAGTGTCCTTCCTTCCCGCAGCCACGGACATCCAGCCTCTGTACTGTGGGTCCTGCTGCAGAGCAATGGGAGTCTGCCGCCGTATCCCACACTGCTGGGGTGGCCCGCGCTGCTGCACCCCTGCCCTACCGCCTGCAGCAGAGACTGCCCCAGTCTGACAGATCAGTCCCCTGCAGTGGTTCCTTGCCAAGCACAGCCCTGGGAAGGTTTATCTTAACGCCTCCTCTGCTGTGACTGATTGGCCAGTCTGCTCAGATTGTTGTGTGGCCTTGTGTGGTGTTTGGTGCAGTGGCATGCTGGAAGCTCCCCTGGGGAAGGCTGGACTTGTGCACAGTCTGCCCCTTGTGTGCGTAGCCACGCCCATCGGCATTCTGCAGGTTTTTCCCCAGCTGCAGGGACGGGGTCTGGCAGGGTTGGTGGCCGTTTGGTGGCTCCACTGGTTCCACAGCCCACGCTGAGTTCTGCCTGCCTGTTGCCGGGTGTGCGAGTGGGTGAGGCTCTCCTGGGTCCCATGGTGTGCGGTGCTAGATCCTAGCACCCGGCCTGGGGCTTTGGTCTGTGGATGGATGTCTAATTCCTTGTGAAAAGGCAGGATAAAAAGGAGGAACATCTTAGCCACCATGATGCCAACATCAGTCTCCTTTGGCTTCTTATAAACCACATTTTTTTTTCAAGGCCTATAGCAGGGAACTTTAGCAAGACTTGAGTAGTTGTAGTTATCAGAGAGTAAAACATTTCTTCTTAAGCACTCATACTACAAAACTTTTAAGTAAACCAGATGCTTGTCTTACAGCTCTAGCTCTCCTCTGCCTCGTCCTCTGTCCACCCAGTCCTTAGACTAAATATGCCATGTTTGCACAAATTCACCACAAACGTGTCTGGTTCATCTCTCGTGTGAAGCGAAGACACCACACCTTGGAAGAGTTAAGTAGGAATTTGCTTATGAGTGCCCACAGCCTGTCTCTCTGTTCTTTCTGCAAAGGGAAGGGTACAACTGACACTTCGAACCTTAGAGTCACTCTGTCATGCAATTCTAAAAGACAGCCATTATTGATTGAACAGGGAAGGCAGCGGTATTTCATAACCCCTCACTTTCACGGACTTAGGATGTCTCGATGTCTACATCTCGATACCTGTGTTTTATACTTTGGCACTGAAATGGGGAAAAAAACCATCATCTAGGTTAGATTTTGTGGTTCTGTTTGGTCATGACAAATAGATGGTAGTCTTTAAAAACAGTTGGCGTCACACTCTGAAGCTTACTTTTCCTCCAACCCTGGCTTTCCCCAGGACCCTGCAAGTTCCTGTGGCCCCAGATAGATGCACAGGATTCCTTCCTCTATGATGCCTTCCGAGCCTCGCGCCCCACTTTCTTGCCTCTTTTCCATAGTCTCTGTGAGGGCAGCTCATGTAAATGAGTATGACAGTGTGTGGGTTGGGGGAGGCTGTGGGTGAATGTGTGTCTGGCTTACATTTCAGTCTGTCCTTCAGTGTCAACAAGGTGGACACTGGTTCCCTAGCTAAGGGCAGAAGACGGCATTGTTTCATCTCTCGGTACCCAGCTTGGCAAATAAAGACCGAAAGTGGGCTGGGGCTTTGAGTCAGATGTATCGAAGATTATTAGATCATAAACTTTTATTGGGTCCTTGTTATGTCCTCAGATATTAAGTATTTTATATGAGCTCACTTACTTAAGCCTCAAAATATCGTTATGAGGTAGTGCCCTTATTACACTCATTTTACAAATGAGGAAACTTGAGGCATGGAGAAGCCAGGTGACTTTCCAAGTCACATAGCCAGTAAGTGACAGGAAGGAACTCCAATGGTGTCCAGCAGAAATGCCTCATCCCCAGATCTGAGATACCCTCCTTCCTGGGGATTTTATTGACAGGAGACTGGAGTTCTCCTTGTGTAGCTGTTGCTTCCCCAATAGACAGGGGAATATAAGAAATGATAGCAGGGGCACCTGGGTGGCTCAGTCGGTTAAAGCCTCTGCCTTCAGCTCAGGTCATGATCTCAGGGTCCTGAGATCGAGCCCCGCATTGGGCTCTCTGCTCAGCAGGGAGCCTGCTCCCCCCCCCCCCCGCTCTCTCTGCCTGCTGTTCTACCTACTTGATATCTCTCTCTCTCTCTGTGTCAACTAAATAAATAAAATCTTTTTTTTTTTTAAGATTTTATTTATTTATTTGACAGAGAGAAATCACAAGTAGGCAGAGAGGCAGGCAGAGAGAGAGGAGGAAGCAGGCTCCCTGCTGAGCAGAAAGCCCGATGTGGGGCTTGAACCCAGGACCTGGGATCATGACCTGAGCCGAAGGCAGCGGCTTAACCCACTGAGCCACCCAGGCGCCCTAAATAAATAAAATCTTAAAAAAAAAAAAAAAAGAAATGATAGCATTCTACATTCTTTCTTGAATATTTCCAAGAGGTCTTCTAGCCTTGGCTAGAATGCCTGAAAGGATTAAGGAATTTAGTCTCTCTGGAAGCGACCCTGCTTCTGGACAGCCCAAAGTGACAGAAGAGTCCAGCAGGCCTCCCCTAACTTCCACGAACCTTCTACAGACCTCTGTGGAACTCTTTCTCCCTCCTGCTTTCGTGGAGCGGGGAGCCTGTGTGATTGCCTTCCTGTGGGCTGAGAAGTCAGGGAAAGGCCATCTTGCTCATTTCTGCTTCCTCTGACTTGGTGGTGTTTGAAACCAGAGTTCTCTTCAGAGGTTGGGGCAGTCGGTCTTCTAGCGGGAAGCATCCCTTAACTGACATGTCAGTGACATTCTCACAGGTCTCTAGATCTCTCCTCCCCTGGCACACATAGGGATTTGAGGCACATCTTTACCACTCTGCATGAACACCTCTCCTCGGAGAGCCAAATACGGTGCTGAGAAGAACACCACATGCCAGGTGCGGCTCCTGCCTCAGTGTTTCTGACAAGATCTGTGGGGCAAGGTTTAACCAGCTGAGGCAGCTGCGTCCCACTGTTCACTAAAACACTCAGCCAAGTGGCCAGAGAGGCTCAGGGGAAGATCAGTGAGGACCCTTTTTGCCTTTTTCCAAATAGTTTCTGTTATGTTGTCTCGGGGCGGATCTGTGTGCTGGTCTTCTGCAGCACACAGAAGCTCTTGGTCCTCTCCCAAGAGCAACCTGAGGAAACTTCATGGACTTCTGAGCTCCACTGAGAATGGGCAGGATGGCCTTTGTCAGGAGCCCACACATGTGCTCTCCTGCTGCAGTCTCCCGTTGCCTGGTGGAAGGAGACCCAGAGGGAGAGCTTTTCACCCCAGTACTGTTTCTTAACAGTGTCGAATAGTTTCTTCCCACTGAAATCATAACTGAGGAAGGAGTTATATCTGTTGTGACCTGACATGGTTCTGCTTGGAGTTAGTTCCCCTGAATTAACGTCCTGGTCCCTCTCCCCGCAGGTCACCAGCAGACATGATGAGCACCAAGGCCTTCACCCTGGTCTCTGCCGTGGAGTGGGAGCTGCTGGCGGGAGACAAGGAGCGGGTGCACATAGAATGCGTGGAGTGCTGCGGGAAGAACCTTTACGTGGGCACCAGTGACTGCGTCGTCTACCACTTCCTATTGGAGGAGCAGGCGCTGCCCACTGGGACAGCCACCTTCTCTGCCACCAAGCAGCTGCACCGACACCTGGGCTTCCGGAAGCCAGTGAATGAGCTGCGAGCGGCCTCGGCCCTCAACAGGCTGCTGGTGCTCTGTGACAATTCTATCACCCTGGTCAACATGATGAGCCTGGAGCCCGTGCCCTCGGGGGCGCGCATCAAAGGGGCCACGGCGCTGGCCTTGAACGAGAACCCCGTGAACGGGGACCCGTTCTGCGTGGAAGTCTGCATCATCTCGGTCAAGCGCAGGACCATTCAGCTGTTCCTGGTGTACGAGGACCGGGTTCAGATCGTCAGGGAGGTGTCCACGCCGGAGCAGCCCCTGGCTGTGGCCGTAGACGGCCACTTCCTGTGCCTGGCTCTGACCACGCAGTACATCATACTGAACTACAACACGGGCTTCTCCCAGGACCTGTTTCCTTACTGCAGCGAGGAGAAACGCCCCATCGTCAAGAGGATCGGGAGACAGGAATTCCTCCTGGCAGGTCCCGGAGGACTGGGTGAGCCTCCACCAACCTCCATCTCCCGTCTGTCCATTCCTTTTGCCTTACCTCCGTGAGCCGTGCACAGACCCTAGCTGTGAGAGAACCTAGCTGTGAAAATAGGTACTCATGAGGAGTATTCACCAGCACTAGGGATGCGTGGCGAGATATAAACAGAATTCCGAACCAGTGTGCACTCTAACGTTCCCTTAGATTGTCCAGGGAATGTAGGGTCCATGGAACAAAACTAGGCCAGTCACAAGGTAGAGCCAGCTTTCTTCTGTGCTAGCGGAGCCTCGAGATGACTCGGGGAGAAAATTCCATTAAGTAAATAACTACAAAATAAAAATCCGTAAGCCTTCCGTATAAGATTTTTTCCACGTGGGTGGGTTTGTCAGGTTGTTTGTATTCTTCGTTATGGAAAGGAGTGGAGCTCAGACATAATTTCAGGTGTGACACCCATTACTGAACTGACTACAGTTTCATCCCACCCACTGTCTTGTCACCAGGCCCTGAAAGGGCTTTGGCTCTGTCATCTGGCCTCGTGAATTCCCTGTGCTGCCTTCTCGAAATTCAGGCTCAGAGCTGTTCATGGTATGGGTGACTTGTATTTTCTTTCAGTCACGGATGGCTCATTTTAGGGTTCGTGTGTGTCTGTGACACACAGTGGGTGCTGGGGAGGGTGAGCACCCCCCTCACTCCCAGTGCTCATTAACTGTAGTCTGTGTGTAGGCATCTCATTCCAGGTGAGGGGTACAAACATATTTTCTGGTCACAACAAAAGTTGAATCACAAACTCTGGTCAGTGAACACGTACAGATTTTTACTTTTTTAAATCAGTTTTATTTTTTTGATCCATTTTGGGTTCACAGCAGGATTGAGCGGAAAGTGTAGATTTCCCATATACCCACTACCCCCAGACTCACACATCCTGCTGCACCATCCACGTCTCCCCACCAGAGGGCCGCATTTATGATAATGGACGTATCTACAGGGAGAGATTATAACCTCCAAAGTCTGTAGTTTATGTCAGGGTTCACTCTTGGAGTTGTACGTTCTTTGGGTTTGGACAGATGTGTAATGACATGTATCCATCATCATGGTACCATAGAGAGTATGTTCACTGATTCTCGGTGTTCAAAATTCTTGTCTTCTACCTGTTCATCCCCTATACCCCCAACCTCTGGCAACTGCTGATCTTTCCAGAATGCCGTGTAGTTGAACTCATACAGTACGTTACCTTTTCACATTGACATCTTTCACTTAGTAATATGCATTTAAGGTTCCTCTGTGTCTCTTCGTGGCTCAATAGCTAAGATTTAAATATATATATATATATTTATATATTTATATATTTATTTATTTATTTGAGAGAGAGAGAGAGCGCACACAAGCAGTCAGAGTGACAGGCAGAGGAAGGAGGCGAAGGAGGCAGAGGGAGAAGCAGGCTTCCCACCGAGCAGGAAGCCTGACATGGGGCTCTATCCCAGGCCCCCAGGATCATGACTTGAGTCAAAGGCAGATGCCTCACCGGCCGAGGCACCCAGGCGCCCCACAATAGTTCAGATTTTTACTTTTTAGAGAAAATATTCTTTACCCCAGCCACCTTTTTTTCTTAACAAAAATTCCCAATTTTAATAAAAATTTGTGTTATGGAAAACATAAGTAAATAGAATATTATAATGAGCTCCAATGTACCCATCACTCAGCTCCAGCTGTTATGAATTCCTTGCCAGTTGTTTGATTAATACACCTCCCCGTTTCCCCTGCTCGATTATCATAGCATCATGGGCCTGATAGCACTTCTCCTAGACACCATTCAGTGCGAAGTTCTAGGTTCCTTAAAAAAAAGAAAGAGAAAAGGAAAGAAAACCACAATACCATTGCATACCTAAAAAAAAATTTAACAGCAATTCCTTAATATTACCAAACATCAAGGTGCATGCCATGTTTCTCCTACTATCACACGTATACAAAGAAACATATGTAAATACTTACCTACATAAATTTGTGTGTAAGGATATGTATGTTTTCCAGTTTGAGTCAGATCCCTCATGAGGCCTCATGATCCCTCCCTACATTGCCATTGATTGATCAGTTAAGTGTCTCTCTGTCTCTTAAGTTCTCTTACGGTTCCTTCTCCTTCTCTTTTTATTTTTCCCTAACTTTTTGTTGAAGAGGTTGGATCACTTCACCTGTTACCTCCCACAGCCTGAATTTGGATGATTTTTATCCCCTTATGTTGTTTACTGTGTCAGGTTGACCTTTGCGTTTCCTGCCAGCTGATCATTAGGATGCCAGGTGTTGTCAGATTCAAGTGTGGGATGTTTGGGGATTTTTTGTTGTTGTGTTTTGTTGTTGTTTTGCTTGTCTCGGGGAGAGGCCAGACTTCGTCACCGGAGTGGAGGCCTTGCATCGGGTCGTGTAATTTCTTTCTCTCTCTGCGCTGTCAGTAGCTGTTGATGAGTGATGCGTACAGCCTTTCAGTCTTGGGGCTGCCAAGTGGCAGCGTCCTCTTTCTGTCCCTTCCTCCTCCATGTGTTAACTGGACTGCTTCAGTGGAGAGGAACTTACTGTATTTGGTTGCCCCCGGGTGCATTGTTAAGAAAGGCAAAACGAGGAGGTTCTCAATGAGGTGATCCCCTCTGTCTTCCAGAAGTGGCTTTTTAAAAGATACCATGACGCATCATGGATTCAGACACATATGGTGCGTTTCCATCTCTTTGTGCTTGCGTGGGGCTTGTCCACGTGGACTGCCAGGCACCTTCCACATGACCCTGGAACTCGGCTGGCTTCCTTGCCTTCTGGTGTGGAAGGTGTTCCAGGTTCATTGTGCGCCTTTCCTGTCCCAGATCTGGTTTCAGCCATTTCTCCAAGGACCCCTGATGTTTAGAGACCATGGGCTGGTGCTAGATCTGCTCGTTGCCCGTTGTGTTTAGGCTTCGTCATTGAACAGAGTTGGGAAAGAGGCATTTCTGTAAAGGTAAAATCCATGGTGAGGCCGTACTGATGGAAACAGTTCACGGCTCCCCAGTGTTGACCTCATCTGTGTCTGTGTTCTGTCTGCTTTCAGCCACATCGAGGGTCTTAGTAAACCACTGCCGACATCACTGTTCCTTTGACTAGTCCCACAGTACGCAGAACAACAGTACTAAAACCACTGTTCCCGCAACGTAATGACCGAAAACAGTTTGATTGTTTATGGTTCTTTTTGTCTTGAGGGTCGGGTGTATATAAAACCCACCAGGAACTGACCGGTCACATTACTGTGTTCTGAAGTCACTTGGAAGAGTCCCCCTCTGTTTGGGTATCCCACCACCTGGTTACATAGTTAATTCGTCTTATTTTACTTTTGATTTTTAGGAATTGCTTTATTTTATTTTATTTTATATTTTCACTGTGTAAGTACGTGCGATGTTCCAAGTCATGTGGGCTACAGCAAGGTATACCCAAAGAGCTGATTCCTGTCTTCTTCCCCCTTAGGCAATCTTTATTTTTATGGTATTTTATGGTTTATCCTCTCATTTTTTTAAAAAAATACAAATAAATATGTAAATATTAGCATCTCTTTCTTAGCACTTTTTTTTTTTTTTAAGCCTAACAATGTATTATGGAGACCCCTTTGTAATATAATCCAGAGATTTCACAGCAGCATGCTACTACATTGTGTGGAGGTGCTGTGGTGTTTTATTTTTTTTTTTAATTTTATTTACTTATTTGACAGAGAGAGAGAGAGATCACAAGTAGGCAGAGAGGCAGGCAGAGAGAGAGGGGGAAGCAGGCTCCCTGCTGAGCAGAGAGCCTGATGTGGGACTCGATCCCAGGACCCTGGGATCATGACCAGAGCCTAAGGCAGAGGCTTAACCCACTGAGCCACCCAGGTGCTCCTGGTGTGGTGTTTTTAATCAGGCACCTTTTAGTAGGCGTGTGGGTTTTTCCAGTTTTACAATTTTACTAGTGCCTTATTTTTTTTATACTTTCCTGGTGGATCTATGGAAGAGCCTTTTGTAGGTGGGATTGTTGAGTCCAAATACAAATGCATGTGAGTTTTGCTAGGTATTGCTGTATTCCGTTGATGAAGGTGTGCATTTTCTGTTCTCCCCAGCAACATATGACAATGCCCGTTTCCCCTCAGCTTTGCCAAAAGAGTAGGGTATGTTGCTGAGCTTCCTTCCGTGTTGTCCCCAGTCCTGTACATGAGAAGTGGAATCTCAGCGTAGTTAATTGCATTTCTCCTGTGATGAGCAAGTGTGAACACTTTTTAAAAAGATTTATTTATTTATTTCAGGGTGTGGGGGGAGTGGCTTAGAGGGAGAGGGAGAGAGAATCTTAAGCAGACTCCTCTTGGAGCCCGAAGTGGGGCTCGATCTTAAAACCCTGAGATCACGACCCGAGCCAAAACCGAGAGTCGGCTGCTTAACTGACTACGCCACGCAGGTGCCCCAAGAGGAGACATTTTTTCATACATTTAGGAGCCATTGCATTTCTTTTGATGGGGATTGTCCTTTTCTCTTGCCATTTCTTTTAGTGTCCTGTCTGTGTTTGAGATACCAGCTTATTGCCCGGTATAGGTTTCAAATATTTGTTCCCGGTTTTTACCATGAAAAGCTTTTCTTCAACGTTCCTATATAATCAAATGTATTAACCCTTTTACTTTACTAAGTCTTGATTTTGAATCACAGTTAGGCGAGAAGTCTCCCACCGAACCACCAGTGCACGTGACTTCAAGTCATCCTTAGGGTCGCTTCCCTCTCTTCTGGTTACAGACAAAAATCACCCATGTTTTCTGCTGGTACTTTTGTGGTTTCATTTTTCACAATGCAGAGTATAAGGAACAGATTTAGTTTTTCCTTTTCTCTATGGCTGTCCATTATCCCAGCCATCCTCCTACAGAGCCCACCCTCTGTCACTGATACAGACAGCCACCTTTAACACACACCGAGTTCTCTTATGCCTTTGGGTCTATCTCTGGATTTTCTGTTCTGTTCCGTCAGTGTGTTCGTCTGCTTATGAGCCCGTACCTTACTGTTTCAGTTATAAAGGCTTTATAGGGAACACATTTGATGCCAATCACTTGTAAGCTCTCTTATACGCTACCTATATACAGGTTCTGTATGCAGCATAGAAATCAGCAGCTTTATTACATGGCTTCAGAATTAAGTTCAGATACAGACGCCTGGGTGGCTCAGTTGGTTAGGCTCGTGACCCTGGGATCCTGGGATGGAGTCCCACCCCCAACTCCCATGTCGCTCAGCAGGGAGTCTGCTTCTCCTTCTGTTCCTCTCCCTCCCCCAACTTGTGCTCTTTCTCTCTCCCTGTCTCTCTCAAATACATAAATAAAATCTTTATTTAAAAAGAGTTAAGTTCAAATAAATACTCTAATGAATGCAAATGCACCTTTAAACATATGAAAGCTATGTATTTTCATTTTGCTTCTCTTTCTCCCTGAAGGTTTCTCCTGTGTCATGAGAAACCACTCTTAGCCTTTTGCCTTAGCTTAGATTTTCCTGTTCTCGGCAATATTTTGTTGAAATTTTCTTAATGCAATTGAGTCTTGTGATTTTAAACTCTGTCCTTTGATACCACTTCTTGAAAAATGCAGACAATTAAGCCTCTCCCGACTCTTCATGGCCCCCTGGCTGCCTGGCACCCTCTCCTTCTCCCAGCTCAGATAAGGGGACCTCTGATATTTAAAGCGTTCACCGTTGAAAATAATGCTTTTTAAAAATGTACCATGTACACATTTGTTACATTTGCACGTTGACAGCACTTGACTCCAACAATATAGAAACAATAGTATTTGTCACCTGCTCTGCAGGCATGTAATTAATTGGGGGGTGTTAATAACAGTACCTCCGTGCCTAAGTGGTTCTGGGCACCTTCTAGTGCCCGACCTGGGCCCATCAGCTGCCAGTGACCGCTCTGCTCTCTTATTCCAGTGTCATCTTCTGCTTTTTGGGTAAACAGAAGCCTTTGTTCTAGACCTCTGGTTTCTGCCCATTCCGTTACAAGAACATTTATGTCAGGGCCTCTGCACCGCATGTCTCCTGGGCTGGGTGGTACCCAGCCTTACATGGGTAAAGGCAGTCACCGGGATTTAATTCCAGGAGGAGGCAGGACTGCATCTTACAGTCCGCGTTCCTGGGGGAGTGCGCTATTCATTGTTATTTGACCCGAAATCTGGCAGCGTCATTGGGCTTACGGTTTACGATTTGCCAGGCACCCCGGGGGAGCGGCATGCCTTCAGGTTATTCCAGCTGGCTGGCTTTAAACGCACAGAAGGGTCAAGAGAGTGCTTCCTCCTCCAAAGCTCAGTCCTTCTTCCAGAGTCTTAATGTTTCCTAGAGCCTTGGGCCTCGCTTTCTCCCCACCAGTTTTTAATGCTGCCTGAACACCTGGGCGGTGCTGTTGGTAGGCTAGTTCCGATGGTAATGACGTCCTCTCTGGTATGGTAAAACACTGGCAATGCCAAACCCAGGGCCTTGGGTCCCAGGCATTGTCCCACTTCGGTGACAGAACCAGCCTACTCTCTTTATTCTGCCCCACCAGCCTCGGGAGCAGTCCTCCCTCACACTCTGCAGATGACGGTCCCTCTCGGGTCATCCTGTACTCTGCTGTGGCTTCTGTTGTGCTCTGTGGAAGCATGGTGTGTTCCCCCTTCCTGCCTTCAGGAAGCATGCTACCACCACCCCCTGAGAAAGCCCTGGAACCCCAGGATTGCGTCTCTCCAAAGTCTGTGACCTCCAGTTCCAGGAAGTGCCAACACTGCCTCTCAACCAGCTCTGCATCCTGGTCCCTGTTTCGTTTCAGACTCCACAGTCTGTTCGATCTCGAGGCTGACTCCCGCATGGTGGCCCTTGCCTCCCCTTTTCTCTTGCTCCTACTGAGTCTGTGGCCGGGGTCCCCAATTCACCCCCAGAAGTGGCTGCCCCCTCTGTTGTGCCCCAGCCCTGGCCTGGTCCATCCCGCCTCTGTGGTGGCAGGCAGCCATTCGGCCCTCCCCTGTGTGGCTCCTTGCACACGCCCTTCACACTCCTGCCCAACTGGCCTTCAGAAGCCCCTGCGATCTATAACAAGTGCAGGCCACACTCCTCAGCCTGCCTAGGGGCCAGTGCTGCCCATTCCAATGCCAACTTGACTTTCAAACAGGGTTTGTCCTGTTCTGGGGACACATGCCTGCCCCACTGCTGCCCCCTGCATGTGTCCTCTTCCCTGTGCAGGCTGGGCTCTGATCACTCAGCTCTGGACCTCCAGCAGCACTCCATCTGCACTCGGAAAGTTTTTTGCGCCTTTCTGTGCCCTGGTCTCCATCTCTTGTGTGGTAATTGTTTAGGCATTTCCCTTAACACCTTCACCACCTTGAACCCTTGAATCCATTGTCCGTCTCTTGGTAGCGAACTCCGTGCTTCACACAGTGAATGTTCACTGAACTGAAATCACTGCTAAACACGCTAATTTGTAGTAGTTCTTTTTGTCTGTACTCATTTAAGAGAGAGAATTCTTTTCTGTTCGTGGTGCGTTCACCCAGAGCCACATCATCTTTTAATTTATTATACTCAATTTTATACTACTATATTATTTATACCATAATATATAATATATATATACTATACTATACTACTATACTATAATATATAATATATATTTATATATAATATATATACTACTCTATTATATTATACTACTACTATATTATATATAGTACTACAATACTACTATTATTATATATAATACTATATATATAATATATATACTATACTATATATAACATAATATATACTACTATATTATATAATATATATTATATATAGTAGTATATATAATATATATTATATATATTATACTACTATATTATATACTACTATATACTAAAAATATCGCAGAGACCACCCTTGTACTTATCGGTTGGCAATAGATTTAAAATTGGAATCAATTAAATTCAGTTTGGGTAGATAATACCCAAATTATTCTTCAAAATATATTTCCTTATACCATACCAATACTTGTCTTTATCTGTCTGTAACATTTGGCCAATCTGATGAGTAGAAGTTGTTTTTACTGTTTTTCATTTAAACATGTCCCCTTAGTTATTGATGAATATGAGGCTCTCTTCATATATTTATTAGTCATTTGCATTTTGTCTTTTGTGATTTACTCATTTATAGCCTCTCTTTCTGTATTGAGTCGTTGGTCTTTTTCCTAATGATGTTTGGAGACTCTGAAGGGCCAAAGGGAGATGCTCCAGATCAGAATGGTTTACATAAAGCAATTGTGACTTCTTAGTAGACGACATGTACACACACACACACACACACACACACACTCTCTCTCTAGGCTTATTGTGCCGTCATCTTTTTTTTTTTTTTTTTTTTTTTTTTAATTCAAGGTAGCTAACATATACTGTAGTTTCAGGAGTAGAATTTGTTGTTGATTTATCAGTGGCATATAACACCCAGCGCCCATCACAGCAAGTGCCCTCCTTCATGCCCATCACCCATCTAGCCCATCCCACCCCTCCCCCCAGCAACCCTCAGTTTGGGAGTTCCAGTTGTTACTCGCACATGCCGAGAACCCATATGTAACTTGTTAAGGAGGCCGTAGCAGTGCTCTGAGCACAGCGTTGTTCTTCGGGGAGGGCCTCGAGTGTGTTCGGCAAGAGCAGGGCGAGTGAGTACGCATGTGTGAGGTGCCACGTGCTACCCAGTTTCAGGAATGGCCCAATTCAGAGGAAAAGAGCTATGTTTGTAATTAATTGATTAACTGTAGTGTATTTTAGTCTTTGTAACTACAGAAAATTTCGGTGCGTTGATGATTTCACAGTTTAGGAACTTTGCTATATGCTACAGTTGAGATAACCTTCCCTTCTTTAAATCTTGAAGTTCTCTGCCTACCTCTGTGTCTCCCCTCCCTGTTCTCCATCCTGTACAGCAGAGACCAGGTGTCGTGTCGTGGTGGTTTGCAGGCAACAACATGCTGTTTCTAAAGGTGTTTTACGTCAACTCGTTTGAAAACTAAGTTATATTGGACTGACTTTACTTTGCAAATGTATAAATTGTGGTAAACCCCAGTATCTGCAGACTATATAGCTCATCGAGAAATGGCTGGTCTGGTGCTTCATGGACAAGACAGATAAGCTGTCATTTGTCATGGAAGTTATGGACAAACACTCAACAGCAGTGTGTCTTGCAGTGCAAAATTGGTTCTGTCCCTGCGTTCAAGGATGCGTGTGTCCAGTATTAGACTGCAGCTCCGAGCAGGGGCAGTTCCTGATAGGACGCCTTGCGCAGTGCCTGGCACATTGTAGGAGCTCAATAAATGTTTGAGGGAATGTATTCAATATTCATTCAACGAGGAAGGGCCATAACTTAGGCACACTAACCAGCTGTAGGACTGGATGTGGGAAAGACCTTGTAGAGCTGCTTAAATTGCTGGGAAGTAACTTTTTCCACAAAGCTGAGGACATGTGCTTTATACACCTTCCAGGGGGTACATGTAAACCTTTTTTAAAGCTCATTTTTAACTGGAAGTAAATGAAAGGTACACATTCAGGGTGAGGTAGTTCTCGTACTGATAAAGTCATGTAGGCTTCTTCACACCTGTAGCATATTCTTTTTTTTTTTTTTAAGATTTTATTTATTTATTTGACAGACAGATATCACAAGTAGGCATAATGGCAGGCAGAGAGAGAGGAGGAACCAGGCTCCCTGCTGAGCAGAGAGCCCAATGTGGGGCTGGATCCCAGGACCCTGAGATCATGACCTGAGCCTAAGGCAGAAGCTTTAACCCACTGAGCCACCCAGGCACCCCTCTGCAGCATATTCTGTCATCTTTCTGATCTTAAACCAGAAGGAAGAAGTGGATGGCATTCTGCCCCCAGACCCATCTACAGGAAGGAAAAATGCCACAGGTCTTCGGAGGCGCACCTGACTCTTCCCGTTTTTACAGGCATGTTCGCCACAGTTGCTGGTATATCTCAGCGGGCCCCTGTGCGCTGGTCAGAGAATGTGATCGGCGCAGCTATTTGCTTCCCGTATGTCATAGCGCTTGATGACGAATTCATCACGGTGCACAGCATGTTGGACCAGCAGCAGAAGCAGACCCTGCCCTTTAAGGAAGGCCACATTCTACAGGATTTTGAAGGTACTACTTTGCACAGAAATCTCAATGAAATTGAGTTATCAATCCGTTTGTGATGTTCAGTAGATGTTTGTAAGGATCCATTCAGAGCTGGACCTCAGGCTAACCTTCGAAGCTACAGAGGTGCTGGTAGTGCAGTCTCCGGGCTCCAGGGCCTCAAGGGCAAAGGGGAGATAGACATTTGGACAGAGAGCTGTAGCAGTGGAAGAGCTTGATAGGCATGAAACAAGGCCAATTGGGAGAGCAGAGGAGGAAGTGTTTCTTGGAAATATCAGGGAGGGCTTCCTGAAGGAGATGGTATTTTAGCCAAATCTGTAAGGATGAGTAGGAGTCAGCCAAGCAGATCTGGTGTGAAAGAATGCCAGGTAGAGGGAAAGGTGCCTACAGATCTGCGCAAGAGGGAGCCCTGAGCTTTGGGCCACGCGAGCAATTAAGGATGACTATAGCACGTCATGCGTGAGAGGGGCCGGCCTGAGATGAGGCTGCAGCAGACCAGGGCTATCTGGACAGACCTCCCCTTGTGTGCACCAGTGAGCCAGGCAAGGGATTTCTTTCGCTTTTCCTAAATTTTATTATGAACATTTTCAAACGTACTGAAAAATTGAAAGGAAAACAAAGTGAAGCACCATAGACCGTTCAGCTAGACTCGACACTTGTAAACATTTTGCCAAGCCATTCAAAAGTAAGAAAAATACATCATGACAGTTAATCTGAAATACTTCAACATGCATCTCTTAAGAATGAGAGCATTTTCCTATGTAACTTCAAAGCCCTTGCACCCCTTAGAAAATGAACTCTAATATCCTGGCCATGTTCAGATTTTCCCAGTTGTTCGAAGAAGATCTTTTATGATATTTTCCTCAAACTGAGAACGAATCTAGATATATACGTTGCATTTGCCACTTAAGAATTTTAGCTCACCAAACATGCCCTTCCTGTTTAAGACGCGACATATCACTTACTAAAGACTTTCGGCCCCCACATTAAGCATGTCACACTTCAGTCAGGGGCCCCAACACACACATCAGAAGAGCATGTCTCATAACAATATCCTGGTGCCGTGGACCGGTGGCAGAGGTGGGCATGGGGTCATGGGCACATAGAGGCTGCTGATGTAACCTCCCCTGCCCCCAGTGCAAACAAGGGGAGGCTTCCCAGGAAAAGGGACACCGGTGTAGAGAAGGGACAGAATCTCATCCGAGTATGAGAAAATGACTTCGCTTGTGATATAGAAGACACGTAATCTGGGCAAGAGAGCAGAGTGGGAAGACTATAAGGAAGATGTCCAGGTAAGGAAAGATGAGGCCTTCCGTGACACCAGACAGTGGGGCTGGAGTGGAATGATGGCTTCCTAGGAGAGAAGAGTGGAGGATCTGGGAAGACTTGGCTGACCCTGAGTCATCCTTCAGACAGGAAGGAAACATCATCTCATTGCTTCCTGTGCAGAGATGATAGTTTTCTTAAAAGAGTGTGTCTGGAAGGGAGCAGAGCCCAAAGCTTCATAGCAGGAGCGTGCCTTCGATTAGAGCTCCAGTTCTGTGGACTCTCTGCACAAGGTCTCACAAATCCCATGAGGGTGATGGCCACGGGTCAGGTGACCTCACAGGGCTGTGGGGAAGTGATAAGGTCAGACCAAGACTTGGTTATTTAGATGGTAGGTGAATATGAAATACCTCATGGTTCAGAGTGTAGTATTATAATCTTAGTTTCCTATAAGCTAACATGGAAAGAAAAGAATTCTTAAAAAATTTTACAGGAAGTATAGCATAATTCTCATAGATCACCATAATTGATCTCTACAACTTCTTTGGACCATATGTTATGTATCTACTCAACTGATTTTATTTTATTTTATTAAGGTTTTAGTTATTTATTTGAGAGAGAGACAGAGCATGAGCAGAGGGAGAGGGAGAAGCAGACTCCCTGCTGAGGGCCAAGCCCAACACGGGCTCAATCCCAGGACCCTGGGATCATGACCTAAGGTGAAGTCAGATGCTTAACCAACTGAGCCAACCAGGTGCCCCACTACAAAGCTGATTTTAAATTAATCAGCCCCCCCCTTTTTTTAAGATTTTATTTATTTGAGAGAGTAAGAGAGCATGAGAAGGGGGCGGGTCAGAGGGAGAAGCAGACTCCCCGCAGAGCTGGGAGCCCAATGTGGGACTTGATCTGGGGACTCCAGGATCACGGCCTGAGCTGAAGGCAGTTGCTTAACCAACTGAGCCACCCAGGCGCCCAGCACTTTCAAATAAACGGCAGAAAAGCATATTTTTTACTTTGGAAATGTGGTATAGCATCCACTCTTTTCCTGACAGTTAACAATATGGGAGGAAGGAAAGAAAGGCATTGCAATGTATAATTTCTTTAGGAATTTTGTGTTGGGAGAACTACAATGAAATCAGCCATCAGATTGGATGACAAGCCCGTTTTGGGTGAGCCGCGTATGTTTGTGCAATATGTTCTTTCTCTTTCCACCACTGTTGAATTTTTCCCCAGGAAGAGTGATTGTTGCCACCAGTAAAGGAGTTTACATCTTGGTTCCATTACCCCTGGAAAAGCAAATACAGGATCTTCTAGCAAGCCACAGAGTGGAAGAGGCTTTGGTTTTAGCAAAAGGAGCCCGGAGGAACATTCCAAAAGAAAAATTTCAGGTTTGTAATTAAGTTGGCCCCAAGAACGCATGCCGCCAGGCCGCCAGCTAGCGAACATTCGGATCTCACTAACATACTTTGGCCCTCTCTGCGCGCCACAACCATGCAGATCGGTTTTGGCTCTGGTGTTTTGTTTTCACAGCCTGTCCACGTCACACAGGTACGGAGGCTGTTTGCAGAGCAGTCCGGGACAGCTGGACTGAGGTCTCACTGCCCACTGAGCCCAATAAAACTCTGGTTTGATTCTGGTGTCTCATATACACACCAAGTAGTATTTCTAATCGACTCTCTTCTTCAGTGGGCCTTCAGAGAAGAGTCAGGAGCATAGTTCTCATGAACCAACAGAGTAACCGTATCAGCAAATCACAGTTAAATATTCAGAATTGGTAAATACAACAGAGATAGGATTACTTTAAAATATCAGGAAGAAGTAAAGACAAATTTAGACCTTGGATCAAAAGAGATAAAGTCTACTTAACTTTCAGATAAGGAGATGGTAGAAACTCATTCATTCAGTCTTTTTTTTTTTTTTTAAGATTTTATTTATTTATTTGACAGAGAGAGACACAGAGAGAGGGGGAACACAAGCAGGGGGAGTGGGCGAGGAGGAAGCAGGCTTCCCACCAAGCAGGGAGTCCGATGTGAGCCTCGATCCCAGGACTCTGGGATCATGACCTGAGCTGAAGGCAGCCACTTAACCCCTGAGCTACCCAGGTGCCCACATGCAGTTTTTCTGAACAAAAAGACAGTATGGTCTAATAAGGAGAGTAGGGGAATAGATGAAATGCCCTAAAATGGGGCTGGATATCTTTAATTTCTATGATTATATAAAAAAGAGTGGACTTTACAGATAATGCTATAGAAGCCAACATTAGTAAGAAAAAATCCCAGCTGGTTCCTGTGGAATTATAAATATGTGAAACTACAATAAACTTTTTGTTCAAATTAGAAAAAAATTTTTTTAAAATTCTAAATTAGAATTTGTCTCCTGATTTAGAATTTGTATTTGTTGGGATGGGGTTGAATGTTAAAAGTTTAGTCTTCTAGTATCTATAGGAAAAGCTTTGCTAGCCATACTGATAAATGGCCCAGTACTGCAGGAATCCATCTAATTATTTCTGGAGGAGAAAACTTTTAATGCACTCGAGACAGCAACTTTAATGTAGTTGGGGTGATAAAACTGATCACTCTCTCTCTCTCTCCTGCCTCTCTGCATGCTTGTGATCTCTGTCTGTTAAATAAATAAATAAAATCTTAAAAAAAAAAAACTGATCCAAGAATCACAAGTTATTTTTATGTCCAATGAAATCAGGTTCCCTAGAATTTGCTGCTTGATCGGTTGTTAGGTTAGTTCACGTCACACTATGTATGTGAAAGTAATGAGACATCCTGCGGGCATGTGTGTGCTGTGCTGAATATTGAAACTGATCACGCAAAGCTCTGTGATGTAATCATGATCCCTTGAGAGCTACCAATCACTCTGATTCCCACACGATTCACTGACTGCTGTGGAATGAGGTAATGCCTTCTGACCTCAGTTGCTTTTTCCGCCAAGAAGACCAGACGTGTAATTTATGGTTATGGGTATGAAAGTGGGAATCTTTTTTTTTGTCATTTTTTTTCTTTTTTTGTATAGTTGACGCACGATGTTACATTAATTTCAGGTGTACAGCTCAGGGATTCACTGTCTCTATACGGTATGCTATGCTCACTGCAAGTGAAGAGGGTGTCTTTTCTGCATTTAAAGATTGATAATGTTCCTTTTTGTTCTGGATTTTTTTAAGATGAGACTTATCTATTTGCGTTCAGCAGGGGGCAGCAGAGGCAAAAAGAAGAGCTGTTCAGGGGCCTTGCTAAGCTGAGCGCACTTCCCTCCGCAGCCTGTAGGTCAAAGCCAGGTGGGGTGGCCACGCCTTCCGTAAGGTCTGAGGTCTGTCATTGCCCTTTTTGCTCTCTACCCCATAAGCCTCCTGTGGGCATGTTGGATGTTTAGGTGGGCCACATGTTGGGGTGCCCTCTCTTTGCACACACACATGCTTTAAGTGTGCAACGTTTTCTTACAGAAACCTCCAGTGTTCCTTGTCTGATCTTCGCCCCCTCCCCTCTCCTTTTGCTGAGTAGATATGTGCAGTCAATATGGGATCTTATTAGTTGTCATCTTGCTCGGACATCATCTGAGTGTCATCTTGGTATCTTTTCCTTTCCTTCATGCTCCCTGCCTTCTCACATTTGCTGCAAACGCCTATATCCAAACCTGGAAATACACCCTCAGAATGATCTTGAATTCAGCCTTCATCCCCTGTGCCCATTGCTATTGCTGTGCAGACCCTTCTGTTTTGCCCGAGTTATTACTTTAACAACCTCTGTGTGTGTGTGTGTGTGTGTGTGTGTGTAGTCCCTCCTCCATGCCACTGTGGGAATGTTCTTTCTGATTTACAGATGGACTCCTTTGCTTAGAGTACTGCGGCTTTCCAAGCCCTTCGTGGTCTGGCCTTGCCCACTTCCATGACCCACCTGCCACCTCAAAGGCTAGAGGGCAGCCACTTAACAGCTGACAGCTCCTAAAGGAGCCCACAACAACTCCTGAGCCCTGCAAGATGCCTGGGCTCTGCTGGGCCTTTCAAAACAGTTTTTCTTTTTTTTTTAAGATTTTATTTATTTATTTGACAAACAGAGATCACAAGCAGGCAGAGAGGCAGGCAGAGAGAGAGAGGGAAGCAGGCTCCCCTGCCGAGCAGAGAGCCTAATGCGGGGCTCGATCCCAGGACCCTGGGATCATGGCCTGAGCCGAAGGCAGAGGCTTAACCCACTGAGCCACCCAGGTGCCCCTCAAAACAGTTTTAGTCGTCAGAACGATTTAGAAGTAACCAGCACTACTGTCCGAAGATGGGAAGGCAGGACAGCTGAGAACTGGTTTCACGCATGGACACCTCTCCAGTTGCATGGCTGCCAGCCCTCAGAAGCAGCATGTGCTCCGCCCCCGGACACCCCCCCCAACCCCGCCCCTGCCCCCCCGCCCTGTGCCTTGCCTCCTAGTTAGCAGGAGCCCTGGGCTTTCACACCCCTCTCTGCCCTCCCCTTTGCCTGATTACTGATATATGCAGGTTTTAGTTACTGGGGTGTGCTTCCAGACTGGACAGTGGTTTCCATACTCTCCTTACCCCTCTCATCTGAGTTCTCCCCGTCCCCCCAGGCAGAACTGATCCCTCCCCTGCATTTCTGCGGTTTGTGTGTCAACACTCAACACAGGAGTTTGCACTTGGCTCAGGCCTTTCCTGCCCGAGTTCCTAGGTGGACTCTGTCCTCTTTGTCCCCGGGCACCCTGGTCCGGACTGGGCAGAAACTCACTGCTCTAAAAACAGAGCCAGTATATAATGGATTGTGGAGCAGACAGTTTGTGTTAAAAACAGAACTGAAAGGGAAAAATAATATTCACAGCAAAGGAAAGAATTTTCCTGAACATGTATGTGTTTTTGAGGATGAGACATGACTCTTGTGATGATGAGGTGCATTATTTATTTTAGCTTTCGGGTGCTTCTGACCAAATGCTGGATCCCGGCTTAGAGAAGCTCGAAAAGGAGAGGAAAAGGGACCACAGTCCAGTGGACGCCTTGTCCCTCTCCTCCCGCCTCATTTAAAGCAAGTATCTGTTTTGTGTCACTAACTCCTGAACTAGGGAGGGCTTTATCAAGAAGTTTAATTCTGGGACTGGGATTAAAGGACTAGTGCTTCCAGAGATCCCAGAGGGCCAGAGAGTTTAGATCTTTAAGAAAGCTGGGCTAGCATTATGTTAAGGTGTAAGATGTCATAAAGAAAGCCACAGTAAGGAGACCTCTTGCATTAACAAAGGCTTGTGTCAGGAAGTTCTCCTGGTTTTTGTCGTGTACTATGGAAAGTATTCATATTTAAGCTTGAACTCTGGTACCTGTGGGGTACTTTTTCTATTTCACCTAAAACTATTTGAGTATGTATTTTTAAAAGGCAAGATTCCCCTTTTAAATGTAACCACAGTGCCGTCTACAGAGCTCCCCAAAGTCATCAGAGAGTCCTTCAAAGAACAGAGTACCATCAGTGTTCACATCTCCCAGGTGTCCTGCGAATGCTGCGTCTTGCCGTTCTCCTTGTCCTCCACAGAAGTCCCAGGCAGGCTGTGCAGTCAGGCGACCGTGTGCCCGAGCCGCTCAGAAGCATCCTCTGTGCAGACGGGCCACCACGTCTTTCATTTATGTAGTTAGGGTCCTTTGTTTTGTTTGACTTTTGTTTTCTAGGGATCGCTCTCTGGAATTTAATTTTGTTTTCTGATTATGTAAAATATTTACAGAGCTCGAAGGAGTCTTTCCTCCCTTCACCTCTCTTCCCCCCCCAACCCCAGTCCCTCTCTCTTCCTTCCTCCCTGTCCCCCGGGTCTTTTTTTGGTGTGAAACTTGTGATTTGTGTTCTAATGGTTACCCTAGTCCTTTGGTTTTCTCTTCTTCTTGCGGGAGGGTGGGGAGAGCTCCTGTTTTCTGTTGTTTCCCCCCTTTGAGCAGCACTTGGAATTAGCTGGTGAGCTCTTAGTGCCTTCCCCTCTTCTTCTCCAGCATCTGTATGAAAGTCACATGCCTTTATCCCCAGCATGTCCGCGAGCACATTGTCCTTCTGTGTCATCTCCCCGTGGCCCCCTGGTTTTGATGGTCGCATTGTCTCTGCTGTCGCACGCATACAGCCATCTCCTGTCTCTCTTATATTTGTCCATCTTTGTTCAGGGCAGATGCATATGGAACTCTCGGGGCACATTTTATGCTGCCGACTCTCCGGGCCTCTGGTTTTCCGCAGCCATCGATCCTCCTGCAGATGTCCCAGCAGGGGCGTATGGGAGCACTCTCCCTGCATGTTGACAGCAGTTCCTCCACAGCCTTTATACTTGGGGGCCCATGTGGCTGGCTGTGAAGTCTTTGACTCACGTTATCTTTCAGTGAGAGACTTAAGTAATTTCCGCCATTATGTTTTGCCATCAAGAG